TCTTTATATTTCATTCAAATATTCTTGTATAATGATGCTAAACTGCAAACTGTACTATACAAATAGTCAACAATGCAGTTAAGAAAGAAAGATAAACAACAAAGTGCGTTTAAGAACGATAGGATAGAGGGAAGACCATATGGAGTCATTTTACAAATATTCTTTTCCTGCGTTGACATATTTCCATCTGAAACAGGAAGTTGGAGCAGGACAAGCTGGAGCTTTTTGAAAAGTAGCCAAAAGTCTTTTAGTATTCTCATCTACAAGCCAAAACCACACTTGACAGCTTGTTTAATCTGTTGTTGACATTACATTTTTAGTAGCGTTCTTTTAAAAAAAAATATATATATATTAAATGCAGCTGTTCATCTTTTTGTCTATATGTTGTTATGCAACAATTTTTTTGATTTCAAAAAGATTGTGGTTTAAATACCTAAAACTAAAGTGAAACTTTATGTAAAAAGCATAAAAAGTGCAATTAGTGCGTGATTTCCAGTAGAACACATCTAGGCTACTAAATAATGCAGATGGAGGTGGTAGCAAACGCTCTTAAGATAATCTTATTCTTGCACACTGTCAACATATTTGGTATCATTTGGAGTCTCTATGAATCCTTATAGACTCAAAGTTCTCTAATGAGCCTCACGGGCAGTTTTTTTGAGCACGAATCAACTGGTGCATGTTTGCTCTCAATGAGGCGACTGCAATCTTTCCGGTTAAGACCGATGAATAATTGAGTCAACTTAAGAAGCTGATTAATTCCCTGGGCTGCGGTGGAATGTTGGGACTCTGAACTTTATCCCCCCTCGCGAGACACAATGAGTGCTGTCATTCAGACATGAATGCTCCCCTGTGAGGCGTGATGTCAATAACTCATGCGAGTCGAGGACAACCTCAGGAAATAGAAAAGGCAAGTGAGGCAGGTCAAAATACAGTCGCTGTAATCTATTCCAATCATATGCATGACAGTTAGAGCCAGTAAATTATATTTAAACCATCAACTGCAACAGACATGCAGAAGTATTTTTGAGTATTTTTGAATGCCCCTCATAAGACAGAACAATCACAAATGAAATTTGAATTTTCTTTTCAAGTCTTCAGTCTTTCTCAGATTTTCTATCTCACATGTGTTTGCTCTTGAGTTTCAAAGGACATATTAAAAAATGTCCCAGACTATGCTCAGGTTATATCACCTCTGCACTCATTGGGGTTCTCAAACAGTTCTCGTCAAATTAAAGTTGACACTTAAATGAGATATGACTGATATCATTGATGGAGTAGGACAGGGGTGTCTAATCCTGCTCCTGGAGGGCCACTTTCCAGCAGAGTTTGGTTCCAGCCCAAAATTAAACACACCTGAAACAGCTGATCAAGGTTTTTGGGCTCACTAGATACTTCCAGGCAGATGTGTTGGAGCTAAACTCTGCAGAAAGACGTCCCTCTGGGAGCAGGAGTTGATACGCCTGTCTCACACTCTCAAAAATAAAGGTTCTTTATTGACATCTGTGGTACCATGGATAAACGTTAACATCCATGGAAACTTTCCATTGCACAAAAGCTTCTTTATATTGTTTTTTACATTATTAAAATGTTCCTAACATCAAGAAAAAAGTTTCCTTTAAGCAGTGGTTCTCAAACCTGTCCTGTCTCCACACCACTGCATATTTTAAGACACCTGATTCAACTTATCATCTCATTAGTAGAGGCTGCAAACCCCAACATGAGTGTGTATGATAAGAGAGACATCCAAAACAGGGGTGCGTTTCCCATACGACGACGTAACTCACTGATTAACCACCATAGTACCATGCATTGTTGTGGAAACTATCTAGCTTGAACCACATTATTTCAACAATTTAGGGGTGATTTTAATGACGTCACACGCATGTTAATGAATTGATTCGAGATCTCTTAGATGCTGCCGTATTGAGCATGGCACCTGATGACTAATTTACTATGTTTTGTTCCCTGTCATTTTGCTTTATTTGATGTTTGATTCATCGCGGGGTTCCTCTTACGTCATACTCTGGGGTTCCCTTAGGCATTTATGCACATGCGCACTCTTCAAAAACAGAGCTTATTGAGGACGCGCTAAAATTTATAGATTAAAATGCATATATATTTAAATAGAATGGAAGATATAGATTGTACTGCATGTTAGCTGGCTTATTGTGCCCAAGAGCATATTTATTTAAGCCCATATCCCTTGCTAACAAGAAACTATGCTTCTAACCACAGGTCCAGAGCTTTAGTTCCTAGCACATAAGTTTGCAACGCTGTTTGCGAATGTTTGTTTGAACTATGGTTTCAGGAAACACCGAATCGTTGAACTATGTTGGAAACGACGGAACTTGTGACCATAGTTGGCTAACCATGCTTTTGGGAAACGCACCCCAGATTGACAAACACTGGTAGCCATCATTTCAGAAGCGAGGGGGACAGAAATGTCAAATGTAATACCATTTTCTTTGACTAATCGCTTAGTTTTAATTGGCTAAGAAATGAAATACACTGCTGGACAATAACCAAAAATGTTGTATTCTAAATTCTTTCCCTATATTTTCCTAATGACAGTTTTATGGTTTATATTTTTTCCCATTTTTATAACAGAATAAGGCAGAATAGTTTATATATGTAATAAATGCTAAGCTAATTAGCACTGCATTATTCATACACTTTCTGTAAATTGTCATTATTATTCATTATCCGGAGATTATTATTATTATTATTTATCTGGAGATTACTTGAAAAACACACATAAACCATATATTGTTGCAATCGCGTGTTTATTGTCTTCACATTTCATCAGCCAAAACATTCCTGCTTAGCTACAGTGACAGCTGGATGCCTTTGTCCATATTAAGGATTTCCTCGCACATCATAAGTTTGTACTTTTATGTGTCCGTTTTGGACTTTCTGCATGAGAGCGCCCTCCAGCTACTATTACGAATGAAACATACACTGCATGAGAGTGTTTAGGGCTCCGTAATGTTGTCTAGTTTTGGATATGACTAAAATGTCAGGTCATCTTGTCTTTGCTTTTAAATCTAGCTTTATTCACACTGGCCCTTGAAAACCTTAAAGTGTACACACTTGCCCGAAAACAAGTGTGGGGGACGAATTTACATTTAATTATAAACGCACGTCCCCATGTATTCTGTGCCCATGCACTGAAAGGTTCTTTGGGGATCCCCAAAGGATCTTTGGGGTTCTTTAATAGCATCACTGTGAGAACCCCCTTTTACAACCTTTATTTTTAATAGTGTAGGAGAACGATTTGAGACGATTAAGTATCCTGAGCTATAAAAGAACATCTGAGTAATGAAATTTCCATCAGGGTCAGAATAAATCATCATCACTGATAGAAATGACTAATAAAAAACAATGCATTCAGGGCTGAGGCGAATCCTTAAGAATGACACTTACTTTTGGCTTTCTCATTCTTCCTAGAGGGCCGCCAGCGGATGCAGGACTTGTGTTCATCCAAATAGAAAAAGCGCACCAGGCCTTTGGATCCTCCACGCAGTTTCACCATCTGAGTGCCCGTCTGCATGGAGCTCATGCATTTCTCCACTAACAGAACAGAGACAACAACATTAGATGGCTGAATATCACACAAACTCTCCACTCCAAATTATAAATGAAACATGATAATGCTCTATTATTTGTTGTGTATGAAAAGAAAGAAAACTCTTGACCAGATCCAACTCTCACTGAGAGCGAAAATACAGCAAAGGTACTTTTATCTTTTCAGATAGCCAAAGGTAAGTTGTCTGCTCCACAGAATATTATTGGTCAACCCCACTCAGGTATATTTCTGTGTTCGTGTGCATTACCCAGAGGACTAACCATCCATCAAAATATCTGACATATGCTCCTGAATCAGCCCTGAGCTCAAAGCGGCCAGCAATCATTACTGTGACCTTTATGAACCTGATCGAAATCCAGTGTTTCATTTTGAAACGTCCCTCTCCCCTCACAACACAACTATTGTTTGGCAAGATTGAGTGTTTCTCTCTTCATGCTGTCAACGAGCAAATGCTCGTTGGAAACAATCATGGCTTTTAAATAACTGGCACAATTACTCTTACATTTACTCTAAATGGCTCATTTCACAATTGACAGGTGGTTGTAAAATGCTGAACCTGTCTATAATGTTTCAACACTGTGAGGAGAATTGCCATGAAAATGAAATTAACTGAAATTACCAAGCAATGTTCCAACATTAACATTTCCAATTTACTCTTATTCTTAAAAAAGACTGTAGCAGAAGTATGGCAAGTGATGCTTTGATATATACTGTACATGGCATTACCGTGGTACATGCCCAGAAAACATGGCACTTTAAGTGTTATAACAGTGTAAGGACAAAAAAACTACTTTAGCAGACTTTACTCCACCAAATTGCCTTCAGGAACAGAGATAACTGCAAGATTTGGGTTTTTCCATTATTCATGCACTTATGAACAGAAAGAGTGTGAAGTAACACTTAAGACAACAGTAGATCTGGCTTTGGTAAAGAAGTTTCTTCAGAGAACAGACCGCTGTTACATAAACAGCAGATAAACTGAGAGACGATTGTATAATAATCAGTGATGAGTTCACAATAGTGAGCCATCGCTCTGCGTCCGCTGTTTCCATCTCTTAGTACTAATGTGGTATTAATATTGGCAGAGCTCATCTGAGGTGGCTCTTTATTTGATAATTATGCCGGGAGCATCGACAGACAGGATGCAATATAAGAAGATTTTAGCGGATCACTAAATCCAGGTTTGAGTGATTGGTGTAAACGCTTATGTGTTATTCAAAATGACGGTACACTGATTGCATGGCTAAAGTGCCTTGTTCAAGGCCAAGCGGCGATGGAATAGTGATCCCAGGGTCATCAGCACTTGTAACTTCTAAAAGTACACCATTTATTGTTTCAGTTAGAACCAAAGGGTTTTACCGCCTGATCCCAAGAAGTTCTAGTTTTGTAGAAAACCACCTATATACAGATGCTTGAAAATTATTGTTCCCACCCAAAAAACCTTTGTGTTCCAAATAAGACAGAAAGTTTTGGAACAACATGAAGGTGAGACATGACAATGACAGAACATTTGGAGTGTTTATCTCTTTATAGTCAACATTGGAATGACATACCTGCGATGGACTGGCTATCCATTCAGTGTATTTTCTTGCCTATTGCCTGAGACTTTGAAGTATAAGCTCCACAGAAAACAAGCAGTTTGGAAAATGGGTGGATGGATAAAACAGCATTCCCAGCCCATTTTACTTTAAAATGTGACATGTGCGTAAAACAGGACATTTATGAAACAAAAATTAAGAGTGGTATTTTTTTTTTTTTGCATTTGGCAAAACACTCCATAACAGAACTGAGCTGAATGCATTTTAGTTCAACTTTAAAAAAAAAAATAAAAAAAAAATTATGGTACTGTCTAAAAAAAAAAAAGTTAACTGAAATACAATGTAAAAAATGCAAAAAAGTTGCTTATTTCTCATTTCATTCAGTTTAAGTTGAAGTAAAATAACTAAAACTAAATAAACTAAAACTGAAAGCTGAAACGTAATAAAAACAAATAACTAAATCTTTAGCTGAATTTAAAATGGAAAATATGAAAACTCAAGATATTAACAAAAGGTATAAGAGTATATATTACAGTACTTTACATTAGCGTTGGCATAATAGTACTCTATTCAACAATACTAAAATAATGGCATGTTGTCATTTGCATTAATGTTAAGTTGCAATGAATTATTGTGTTAACTATAGTTGTTTTTTTAAAGGCAACATTTCTAAATGGCAGCCTTAAAGAATGCCTAAATAGGTTTTTTGACACTGTTTTTGGCCTTGGCTCATTTCAGAGGTTGAGCAAGTTATTACATTTTGAAGAAAGAAAATAAAGACAAACCTTTCTTTTCTTTGTAATAGCATGCACCAATTATTAATTCACAATAAGACCAGGAATCTGCATTAAGAGAGTAAATGGAGACATTTTGGATTTCATGTTGACTTTAAGGCACCACAAAAAAAGGAATACACTCAAGAGTAACAGAAAATAGTTCATGATATGAAGAGGGTTCTTCGCTTAACATTAGGCGATAAAGAACATTTCTTTTAAGAATATGGAACCTGCAACCTTTGTGGTTGATTTGCCAGTTAAACCTTTAACTAGAATACAGCCGGGACTAACACAAGTGCTGCAATGCAGTGCCAGCTCAATGCACCGTAAATTCAGCAGTTTTTCCTTGATATGCTCGCAAGAGCAGTGATCTGATCCCTATTGCTGAATACACAGCAGGATGTTTAGAATCGTTAGGGGTTAAGCCAAACCGCTTTTTGATTGCTTGAACAGTGGACACCAAAAAAAGAGAAAGCTTTACTGAATGTGTCCCATGTTGTGCAAAAGCAGTCTAACCCAAGCGCTTCCCATGTGGTACCTCATCAAAAACACTCTAGTGGGTCTGAAATGGTTGCTATGGAAACCAGGTTCATGGTTGAAGCATTCGAGAAACCTGAATGGAAATTTAAAAACAAAATGACTAGTCGTGTTGCTCATTGACCAGCATGAATACTCGCATAATCTAGTTGGCTCAAGAGTGTTGTTGACGCTTCAACAGTTATCAGTTAAGTCAACGACACCGAAGAGTCAAAAGAAGCTGCAGCGATTGGTGGCGTTTAAGCCTGTTTACCAGAGGTGATCCTCTAGCGCTGCCATGTAGCAGGTCAAAGGGGCTCGTCTGCAGGATGTGTGCCAGACAGAAGTAAGGTAAACCTCTCACGCAACATCCATCAGGGAATTAAAGCTTAAAGGGATTGCACCATATGTCAGCCCCTGTACAAACAGGTGCCTTTCCGTCATGACAAACTAAAGAAATCAGCCTTCTTGACGTCTCAATGCATTGATGAAGCCAAATGTGTACACTGCACACAACTGAGTTTTGAAGAGCAAGTTAAAATATATACTGAGTAAATATTTCATGACAGCAATGATATTCAGTTGCGATTTTTTTTGGCAAGCCTCTGTCAGCTTTTAAAGTAACAAAGTGTAAAACATTTTTGTAAAGAAATGCTGTTAATTATTTTATTTATTTATTTTATTTAAATATTTTCTAGTGGAAATGCTGGTTTATTGGGTGCCCCAAGCAAGATAAAATGACCATACTTACAGTAATAATTCATTATACTGTATATTAAAAACTTCCTAGTCTGGCAGTAGAACTTTTGATTTAGCAAGGAAACGCAGGCACACATTTCATCCTAATATAACATATTGCCATTTTTTATTAATAAACCAAAATAAATTGCAACTGAACTTCACAGCTAGTAATCGGCATGCATTTAATTAAAAACAAATAAATAAATAAAAATAGAGTTCATTACTTTGTTGTGTGTTCAACAGAAATAATCATGTAAGTTTTGACCAACATGAGGATGGCAGAAATGTCAGTTTAAAAGACGCTTCTGTGGAAAATGTAGACATTAATAGGTGATTTTAGAGGAAAACTTTGTGCAGTTGAACATATCAGAGATTTTGTTTTTAGAAGTTGTACTACAAAAAAAATTATATTTGAACTTTTGCTGAGTAATGTACACCAGCAACGGCAACAGTAGGCCTGTCCCAATACTAGGGGTTCAACAGATTGTAGCTGATCCATGATCCATATGGACCAAGCTCCATGGTTCTGCATTTGTGGATTAGTTGCAAAGGTTAACCATCATAGACTGATGCATGTTTCTAAGTCTTGCCAATAAAACATTCAAGCGATTTTAAATCATTTAAGCGCAAGAATAGGCGAAAGAGAATTCAGTTTGGTACCTGCGCACTGTTTTCTGTGCTCACACACTTAAAGCACGGAAAGCGTGCAAACACAGAATTCAGTTCTCTTTCACATCTCCTTGCGTTTAAACCGACCCACACACACACAACATGATCTCAACCATATCATCAAGTAATAAGCACAGTGGGCTTAATTACACACTGTGCTTATTACTTTCCTTTCTTTAGTAAAGTAAATGTAAACAGAAAGAAATCGGATGTATGTCATTATATTGGATCTGTGCATTTGGTCTTAAAACAAACATAGCTGTAACAAAGATTAATCTAGATTTAATTTATACAGTGAACACTATGCACTTTTTGTACACTTAATTAGTACATTTCTGTACCTGAGTACTACTGTTAGACCTTATTTTATTTAAACTTCTGTTCTATTCTGTTCTATTCTATTTATTTATGCTTGTAATTTTTTTTCTTATTTTATTACTAACTGTTCACTTGTCATTCATAATGTCTGATTTTTTAAAAAAGTTTTTGGTGTGGTATCAAAGAAGTATATAGTGTTTGTTTCAAACCATGATTCATTTTACTGATCCGAAAAATGACCCGATCCCCACTAAAAAATCTCAACCATGAGTTTTGTGATCTGTTTAACCCCATCCAATACCCATACGTACATCTTGGCCACTTGAGAGCAAGTGTACAAGACAGGAATTAAGTGTGTAAGACTGCGCCAGGTCTGCAAAATGCCAAAGTTCAGTGCCCTTAATGCACACTATATCCACACTATTTCTAATACTCTGCTTTTTAGCAGTGGTTAAGGCTAAGCATATCCCATCATTCATCATGTTCAGGATCTCGTACCCTGAAATTGTCGGGTTGAAGAAAAATGTCCACTTTAAAGTAAATTAATTAGATATAACATATATTTTGGCAGTGTAATGTGAAGTGTCACACATTTCAATGATGCAGAGATGAGTAGGTTTAATTTGTAAAATGTTAGAAGCACCACAATTAAATAGTTTTGTTCATTCCACAGGGACATTTAGAAGTTTTAGCGCAAAGTATTAAAAACTTTACTTACAGCTTTACAACACAATGTCGTAAGTGTGTCCCATCAGGTAATCAAAAGTTCCGCACACACTTATAGCCTTATGCTCACCTGCACACTTGGGCCAAATGCAAGAAATAGGTCATACAAACAGACAAGTGGTCAAGTGCAAAGACTGCAAGAGTGGTTATTGGGACAGGCTACATCGACATCAAACCTGACAAAAACATAAAATTGCTATTACATAAGCCTATCACTTGCCTTGATGTATGAGCCAGAGGGTCGATATAAAAGCATTTTTTAAATTTGCCTTGGAAAATTGATAGCCATATTATATATACTGTACAAATAAAAAAAATGTTTCTGATTTATATAGGTGAATAAACGAAGCAAAGTCAAAATCGTGCCAAACACCAAGACATGCCACTTCACAAAATGACTTTGGCAATCCACTAAACTGAAATAATTCAATACGTTTATTTAAAAACAAAGAATGAATCGATTTATCCTGTTTTTTGACTCTTACCAAATAAGCCTAGCTTCCATTTAGATCCGTACACAGAGCTATCCCCCGTCCAAAAGAATCCCGCCAGGAGCCGTGACAGGGTCAGCTTGTGGAGAGCATTAGAGCAGGCGGCTGCCACCGCTGGCTTCGCCACTCGGGCTGGACGTGTTGCCAGCTTAGTAGCAAGCGCAGGCTTCATCTGAGGCGCTAATGTTGGGGGCATCACGACAGAAGTGGCCGAACTGGCAGACAGCACGGCTGCGCACATCGCTCTGTTGTTGCCAGCTTACTAGTAGAGTCCTTGATTTCTTTCTTGCGCTTTGCTTCCTCTGATTCCTGCCTTTACAATCACTCTGTCAAGCAAAGCTCTAGGCAAGCCTCCATCCAACACTGTTTCACGAGAAAGTCTAACGGCAAGAACATAAAAAAACAATACGCTCAAACCCACGGGATTTGAAGGATAGTCTTCCAGACATCAGAACAATTTTAGCATCTTCGGTCCAGGCTGGGGCTGTCTTTCTGACGGCATGCTGTGAGATGCTGTACTAGTAGTAAAGATGCTAACTTATTGACTGTGTAACACCTGTCAAGCCGACACTTAAATCCCCTCAGAACTGTAATCCAGGCCTGGGGGATTTAGGTAGCTTATTGCGCACAGAACCACAGCACAGATATCAGAGGAAGAGAGAGAGAGAGTTCATTCCATTTATCAGCTCTTCCTATAATCATAAAAGCATCTCCATGATTGTTGTCTATCCACGGAACTTCAAAGTAATGGTGTAATGCAATTGCATTTGCTCATAAACAGGAAGATCATTCAGGTTTTTAGAGGCTCTTGCTAAAGCAAGCATCACTATCATTATTGCTCATACTATATGAATAAATTCTTAACCCTGACTATTAAGATTTGATGTGCAGCTCTCTCTGCATCATTTGCGCTACAGGCATGAATGATACCTCAAATAATCCAGCCTGTTGAGGAGGGGTGTGCTGTTACCTTTCTAAGAGATTTGACTTACAATATTGGGATGGGGAAGATAAAACAAACACAAAAAAGGTGCACATGGATATTCTAGTTAAAATCAATAAATAATATATATTTTTACACTTTTATCAACAATCAATACAATATTGCATTTAATAATTAATAACTCATTTAAACCTAGTACAAATCATAACAAGTAAAATCACAATTTATCAATAAAACAAATGTCAGAAGTCACACTTTATTTTAAGGTGCAATTTTCATTATTAACTATGTATTAACTATGACTTTTCCCTCAATAAACTCCTAATCTGCTGCTTATTAATAATTAGTAAGGTAGTTGTTAAGTTTAATTATGGGGTAGGATCAAGGGATCTAAGATATGGTCATACAGAATATGTGCTTTATAAGTGCTTTATAAATTTATAGCCAATATGCTAATACGTATTATGCATGCTATTAAGCAACTAGTTAATAGTGAGAATTGGTTCTTAAAATAAAGTGTTACCATTTCAGTATTTTTAGATTTATTCCAAAATATTAACTATAATAGTGCAGTAAAAAGTTGCGGATTTTGTGTATATATTATTTGAAAACTGAAATCAGCTGTTCTTCAATAGGAGGTTTCGCCAAGCTCATTAAAAGTGCTCACTAAAGTCCGCCTCATCATTTAAAGTTTGACTGGATGTGACAGAGCGAGGTGACAGAAAGTACACTTAAAATATATGTTGGCCTAAATTTAAGATTTATGTTTGTGCATTTATGTGTTATGAATTTCCATCTATTTGGATCGCAGTTTTACATAAACTAATGCACTTAATTAGACCCACTTTATATTAAGTGTCTTTAACTAGTTGCATTTAAATGAATAATTTGCTACAGTGCATTTATTGTGTACACACGTTTTTTCATTGTACTTCTATACACCTTCATGTAGTTATCTGTAATTACAAATTTTTGTTGTTATTCATAATTACGCTACCTCTTAACCCACATCTAAACCTAACCAGACCACCAAACCTGCCTCTAACCTTAATTGTATCCCACCTTAATAGCAGCAAAAGTTTTTTTTGCAAATCAACATGAGCACAATAACTACACTTTACCAAAAACATTCATCATATTTGACATACATATATTA